GTGGTATATCGCTTAGTATATAGTACTGTACCATACCGAGTGAATCTCGAAACTCCGATACAGTACGATATTTCAATACTTGGTTTTTACGTTATCACCTTCAACAATTAACACCTACAGGTATCTCGAAGGGTTGAATTTTAAGAAATACATTGCCTTGCATAGTTGATCAAACAAGTTCACAATAAGTGGGATTGAGTATTGGTTCTTTATCAATTTTTAGCATGGTAGTTTATAATTCTTATCTTGTTTCTTCTCGAAAAGAATTGGAGCTATAAAAGATGCGTTAAAACTATGGGTAATATCTTTGTTGAGCGGCTTATCTAGTTGCATTATGAACTCAACCAACTAAAGTGAGGATATGTCGTAAGGTCTTGTGGAGGCTTCACTCCGGCTCAGCTCAATGCAATGTTCCACGCCACTGTGTAGTGGCAAAGACTTTAACAATTATGGTGAACTTAGTGTTCTCAGGTATGAATTGAGTTCGTAGCTCATGCTTTAGATCCTCCCAAGTATTCACTCTGTAGTGCCTGGTTGGATCAAATCCCATCAGGTGTTTCACCAGAGATTTCAAGTACATGGATTTGATGTACACTTAGTTTATTCAAAACTGTTGCCCTAAAGTAATGCTACATATCAAGTTTTCGAGTTCTTTTACATCCTTGGCATCTCTATAGCAATGTGAATCAAGGTTTGCATTACCAGTTCATATCGGTATATCGGTGAGCTATCGATATGGTACATACCGAGGTGCATCGACGATATAGTAAAATTATCAAAAATAGCTCCAAAATACCTAAAAAGAGTTATATTGGGGTTTTTAAGTTAGAATTAAATATAAATTTAGTATATTTTAGTAAAAATGATCTAAATTAAGAGAAATAGTTATATCTTTTTTGGGCTTTGAGTAGCTTTGTGGTATATTCTAGATCATTCTTTCATTAATATTGAATTATTTATGAAGAAATGATTTGAGTTGTTAGATTATTTTTTAAAGAACTTAAATTTTAAGATTAAATTGAATCACGTAATCAATCGATGCATGTATCTGGTTCTACAGTTAGAAAGAACGATGGGACTAAATGGGTGGTGGATCAGAGTACTTGATTTTATGTATATGTATATTAATTCGATATATTTGTTGAACCTAATCTCGAAAGTGATCTCATGACATAGTATATTTATACATCGAATGTCACTGGTGCATTAATGTGGTGATGGTCTTAGTCTGATCATCGTGCATCACATGTTTGAGGCGGCTCTTGAGGTAATAATGATTGTGGTATGTATTGGTGCAGAGCATGAAGAATATCAGAACTTCTACTTTTATCATTGATCTACTGCTTTGTATTAAGATTGATCACTGTATTGTTGCCCGAAGAAGTATGACCAACTACTATCGTATTTTTATTGATCATAAGATTCTTCATAATATGACAATTGTGAATATGATGAGCTTTGCTCTGTGTTCACATCGTGTAGGTTTTGTCGCATATGCTCAAAATCATCTACCGTCTTCTCCTTTCACGTATAAACTTGAACAATACCTCGTCGAGTTCTATGATTTGAATCTTGGGTGTCATGTGTAAAATACTATTCGTCGGTCTATGCACCACCCTTAAATTGTGTAGACAAGGTTTATAACTCCTCGATATCGTCGCCATCATCGGTCGAGGCACTACTGTTCATGTTGTTGTAATGACTCTGGATTGAGTGGGTTGTTAAATGCAATTGAGAAGGTGTCTCGTCGCCCGACTCGATTCTTTTCAATGGTGTGGCTGATGTTACTGTCTTCCCCTTTGCCTTTGCACATTGGGCAAACGATTGTAACGATTGGCTGTTTTTAGTTCCTCGAGCAGTCCGACCCGATGTTGTCCGACTCGATGTTGTTCGACTCCTTATGCCATGTACTAATCGAGGGTGATCCTGCCATATTCTAATTGAGGGTGATCTTTCTCCTATTAGGGATGTGCTTCCTCTTCTATTACCTAAGTGATAAATCGTGAAGGACGTGGAGGATCTCCCACCTCATCAAGTAGAGGATCCTCTCGGTTCTTCGCTACTTCGACCCACTTTAACATCAGCTTGGAATCTTCGTTGTAGATTTGAATGTCGATGGGATTAGTCTCTGTTTCCTCTGGCTTCTTGTCCAGCTCGGCACACTGCATCCTTAGTCGCATGTAATAGTGAACATATATTAGTTTCTCCAATCGTTTATACGATAGTTTGCTGCGGATCTTTATGTGAATCAATGCGAACGTTGACTAATTGCGTTCGTAACCATTATAAGTTATCGTTTGCGAAACTACACGGACGACAACCTTTCTTAAATTTGGTGCATCTTGTTTAAATTGTAGCCACCACTCGTCTGTAAAAAGATATAAATAGGATTTTATTAGCATAACAAATAATTAATGTCAAATATAAATTATTATTAATATATGTATAACTTTTCTTCACTATGATTCATACAGTTACGAGACGATATAACTATAATGTTGCAGAATGAACCAATCGTTTCTTAAAATAATTGGTCCTCCATAATAGCATTGGTAGTGTTTGATAAGAGTTGATATATAACATTTCTTAGTGTCGACAATAAATCTAATTGTGTTCTAGGATTATATCAAAATTGAGTGGTCGGATTTAGGTAATACGTTGCAAGACAAATAATTTTGTTTGTAAATTTTTTTTAAATATTGAAAAATTATGATTGAGATTTTAATTAATATGAATTTACTTACATTATGGATGTCTTGGTCCATATGAACTTTAGTTCTACGATCGACGATTTGTAAGTATTGCACGACTTTAAAATCATCTTTGAATGCTATCTTGACCTCTTTTGCTGTTATTAGCATATCTTTAAGATAAGGCATTTGAGGATGCTTGTCTATATAGACCTTATGTAGGACAACGTAAAGCAAGGTTTGTGATTTCGAATCGTACCACCTGTATCGGGCGGTATGTACCGGTCGGCTCATGAATCGGTACGCGGGCGGTCTGCTCGATATACTGTTTCGTGCAGTAACGGTCAAAATTTCGATCGTTATCGACCTGTTTGGAGTGGTATCGGCCTGGCTGCGGCGAGGTTGAGGGAGAAGCGTCGAAGAAGGAAGAAGGAGAGGGCGTTTGAAGAAGAGGGAGAATAAGGAGAACCTTGGCGTGAACTTGTGACGTGGCCTAATTGCCTTTGAGGTGGTGGCTTCGGTCTGTGGTGACATAAATGCTATCAAAATTGTGGATGATGTGGCCTAACCACCTCTTGGGTGGTGGTTTGATCGCTTAGGTGGCATAATTGTTGTCGAAGTGGTGGTTGACATGAGGTAACCGCCTTTGGGGTGGCAATTCAATTGTTGAGGTGGCATAACTGATGTGGAAGTCGATGATGTGGCAGACGATGCAGCCCCCAGTACGGCATTGAGGCCAATGCTGCCACTTGCGCCTAAGTCCATGTGTCGACGTTGGGAGGTCATTTTTATCCTCTATCACCCTATTAAGCCCTGTGCCACTGATGGTTTCAGGTGTTGAGATGGCTGATGCTCTCTGTCGCATGGTTTCTTCCATTATTGGTGATTATAATCTATGGTTTGAACAAAATTAAAATTGAATATTGTAAGCAAAGGAAATATAAGTAGCATACTATGTTATAAAATAAAAGGCTAGCTTGAAGTGATTTGTGGTGTAAATGGAGAAGATGGGCAGGTGGGCTTCATCAGCCATTAAGAGGAAAACAAGGGTTATGGAAAGTGGAACCAAAATAAACTTTATGTAGAGAATATCACACTATTGACCTTAGGAATTTATGGTAGTTCTAGAGAAGATATTCTTTGTTTCTAGCAAGCAACACTTCCCAATATATTAGCTAGTTTGTAATTTTTAGTTTCCAAGTTTAAGCGTGAGGTTTCAGGTATATGCTCGAGATAGTAATTGAGCTTTTAAATTTTAATGGGTTGTCATTTTCTTTATAACTTGCTATGGTAATGCTAACTCTGCAATATGTTGTTGTTCTGTTAATCACACATTAAATGATGAAACCGCCGAATTTATGTTATTTTGCAGATAATGGTGGTGGGATGGACCCTGATAAAATGCGGCAATGCATGTCATTGGGGTATTCTGCCAAGTCCAAAATAGCAAACACTATTGGACAGTGTGAGTATCCACCATTAGTAGGAAAAGGACACATTTACCTTTGATAAAAAAAACGTTCTTTTATCTCCTTGGTAAATGAGGATCTTTTCTTTATTTACATTGTTTATTTGGTCTCCATAGATGGGAATGGCTTTAAAACCAGCACCATGCGACTTGGCGCAGATGTTATCGTGTTTTCTCGTAGTCATGGGAAAGACGGAAGAAGGTTAGCATATTTTCTTATATCTGCACCCACAATAAGCATATGCAGTAACATTGACGAACTCGTGTACTGTTTGGATATATGTGTAGAACAGATTCATACACACTTTTGTTGTACCTACATATGGGACAATTTATGTGCTTTTACCAGGTTTCTTGGTTGCTTTCTCAGTTCTGATTATGATACTCCTGCAAACTGTAAATTATATTGTCCTGGCTAGGAAATTTGTGTTATGATGTACTTACGGAAGGAATACTAATGTTATTTGTGCCTTGACACTTGAAATCTCAATACCCTAAGTTGAGAATGTGAACAAGATGGTTCTAAGATTCCATATGGTGGGTTTCTTTTTGTATGGAAACTTAAATTACCATATTGTTGGGTAATATAAATTGCCCCAGTGGACACAAACATATTTAAGTGGTTCACAGGAATTATATTCTAGGATTGAAGATGAATTCAAAAAGTTCTAGATATATTATGGATGATTTGGCTGGTGCAAATAAATGTTTTAGGAAGAGAAAGTTTTGCCCAGTGCCATTGTAGAGTTGAACAATCAACTGATAATATTCTCTTCCATCAGGACAATAGGTAGAATTGAGCACATAAAATTCATTGTAGCTTCTTACCCTTTGGCAAAAAAAGCTTTTACTGTAACTTGGGCTACAGAAGAAACGAAAAATTTATGAACAAAATTGCAGAAATAGAAGGAAAGAAATTTAAGAAATAAATGACAATAGAAAGAAGTCTGAGAGTGAGCAAAGGTGATTTCGTACATTTTAGGCTGAAGATGTTCATGAAACAATGAAAGGGAATATGTTCATCTTTTTCTCAAGTTGAGTTGATATAATGTTTATAGAGTTGGGGAGGTTGAAGAATATGGTTTTCATAGAACTAAACTGACATTGTTCAATTGGAGTGGAGCATTTGACCATTATCTAGGACAATTACGAGGTTATCTGTGTTGGCTGGTGTGTTGGCGGTTCAAACAACATATTTTAAAATTATAGAACTGGAGATGAGGATGTTGAGATGGATGTTTAGTTTTACATTAAGTATGACAAGAAATATATGTTTGTGGAAGAAATATTGAGATGGATTGTGCCAAATGTATGGTGAAATGAGGTCAGTCCTTTAAGGTGGCCTTGAACATGTAAGCTAATTCAATTTGTAATCGAGGTGTTGAAAGAGGTAGCGAAAATTTGGAGAAGACATGTTGGAAACAATAAAAAAAGATGCAATGGAATGTGGAACTCTGTCATAGTCCTCGATTGCAGAAGGATGGAGATGGTGCCTTGTTGTCAATGTAACGCATGATATATCTATTTCAGTGACATTTACTTAATGATGATAGGTTGTAGTCGGCATTTAAAGTATTTACATGACTTGTGGAGATCAATAGAATCCAGTGTTAATTTTGCTTATTCATTGATGTGAAGCTTAATTGTCGTGTTAGTTATGTAGGAATTAATTTCTTTCCTGTTGTATGACTGTTTATTATGTATGCATGTTGTTTATAAATATGGGGTAGAATATTTTATAAATATTTTTGTGAATAATCAAAAGATTTGGTAAATATGGCAATCTAATTATGTATGTATTTGTAAATGTGAGAAACACCTATTTAGTGTCAGCATTTTAGATACCTCTTGGACTGGCTTTGACCAAGTACCAGTTTGGGAATATGTAACTTGATACTGGTACAATACCATTCATCTTTAAATTTTTTAATACTGTATTCGACATTGGTAATATCCCCAGTATGCTAGTACTATTCTGGTCCTATAGATTATCGAAACTGGTACCAGACTGAATGTAAATCCTTGTCTGGTGTCATTATTTTGGTATGATAATTGTGGTACATGGTGCTTCATTATATCTTTGTTTTTGTTTAACCTTTCCATTGCTGCCTCCAATGAGACTGACCTACCCTAACTTGGCATACAGGCCCACGCAGACCATTGGAATGCTGTCCTATACTTTTCTGAGGAACACTGGGAAAGAAGATATTGTAGTTCCAATGGTATATTTAATGATGTTATATAAACAATGATATTGTTTATGATATATGATTTTACCTACATCCCTTTGTTGATACTGATCTGTATGTCCATTGATGTTTAAAATAAATGTTCTGGACATAAATTTTCCTGCATACCGAATAGATTTTGTTTGTGTGATGTCAGCCTTTGTAGATTAAGAACATGTGCTAATGCCTTAATGATTTTCACTTAAATTTTTCCAAAAGAATATTCACTAAAATGGCAAATCTTCTACATGTATTGTTTTTTTCCTTTTTACACAATCCATTCTAAGGTTAACAACAGGTAGTTATCACTATGGGGATTATTGCAAGCCCTTCATGCATTTTGGAGAGAAGTTCATTAAAAGTTATACTCTTGTTTGCCTCAATGGTTAAATGATGCAATGTTAATACTGTAGATGAGATAATTTTTCATTTTGTAGCTGTTTCAAGAATCAGTTGACTTTGTATACTGATAAAGCAATGGACTATTCATCGACGAAGGCCTTAATCTCTTGTAGGTAGTATGAAGCATTAAATAAGTGAAATAGAGGATTAAAGGGATTCTTGTCTGATATGTAATGAGTCCTTTGTGCTTCTGTTTATGAAAAGTAAACAATAAAAGAGAAACCCATATCAACTGAAGTCTGGGGAGAAATTCAAAATAGAGAAAAAGGTGAGGAACATACTTAAGCAATAGATATCATTTTGGATTTCTGCTTACTGTTGTTGCAAAGTGAGTAGCTTGATATGAATTTATTTGGATAACACAATATTATTATGGCTATGCTATGTAGAAGAATGTGCTTGAGTTGAGATAAATCATTGATGACTTTACTTGGCCTTGTTTTGATTATTTTGTTATTGAGAGCCTACTTTATCACATAATGTTATTTTCTGATGTCTTAATATTGTCCCATGGTGTGTTGGGCTTTCTGACAAGTGAGATGCCATGGGATAAATCCAATGTCTGTACTTTTTTTTATCCAAGATATATTTTAGGCTTCCTTTTCAGATTGACTCATTCTAGGTTTCTTTTGCAGCTTGATTATGAGAAAGGAAAAGTCTGGAGTAAGATGTTGAGATCATCCTTAGCTGATTGGAATACAAATTTAGAGACCATCATCCAATGGTCTCCATATTCTAGTGAAGCAGATCTTCTTCAGCAGGTAAGATATACTTTTATGGTGCCTGGACATGCATGGTTGACAATAAATAGTTTTCCTGTCAATAAACTACACCATTCATGGTTATTCTAATAATTTAATTGTATTACAATTGTTTGCTTCAGTATTGTCTTCTAATTGTTTCATGTTAGTTCTTTAAAAGCTTTGTTGATTCTTCTATGGAGCTCTTTATTTGGAGTTTGCTTTATCAGTGATATTTTGGTTGCATGAGGCTTGATGATGATTCACTTTTCTGCAACCCTTTGTTTGTATGTGGTATGTTTGAACGTCTTTGACTTTACATGGTGAATTTACAGGGCACTTAATACATTGTTTTGGACTTAACTACAACAGTTTGTGACAGGCCAACTTAAAGACTTACTTTGAAACTGTAATTTAACTGCATGGTTCTTAGTGGTTTCCACTTGTGAACACACTCAAAACGCACCTTTTATATTCAAAGTATATATTATGTCAAGCATAAAAGATCAGTGAAACTTACTGTTGGTCTATGTTAACCATTTTGTGATTCTAGAAACCATCCAAAAGACGCTAGAACTTTCAAATCAAAACTATGACTAAATTACTTTCTCAACCCATTTTCTATCAAAAAATAAGTATGACTCATACAAGTATTTGTATCCTCAAATTGACAGCTAAAACAATGATGAAAAATTTAGATCTCATTGAGTTCTCTTAATCATGGAGCAGCTAATTTTTTTCCTGGTCTGGCAACGATCTAATCAGATATAACTTCCTAACTATCTTTTTGATCTTTATATATTTCTACCTTATAATTTGAAATAGAATATTATTTGTTATGATGGATATCTGGTATGATGTATGCCAGAGAAATTATTTTCTCAAAAATTATAGAGGTTATCGATAAATTATTTGCCATATAATAGCTGTTCAAATTGAAGAATTAAGAGTATATAAAATATTTGATGACATTACTTGCAATATTGTCATTGAGTTATGTTTCTAACTATAATGGCGTGCGTTCCATACCTGAATGATGACCATGGTTGAAGTTGCTAAAAACAAGTTATGCTACCTCGACATAGTTGGTCAAAGAGAAAATATATTATTAGTTTTCTTTTAATCACAACCTCTAAAGATGTATCATTTGATGCCATTTATCATACGATGACAATTTTATATTGTCGACAGAATGTTCATGTAACATTATTAAGAAATGCCAACTTACTGTTTTTTACCACTTTGGTGCTGTGGTTTTTGCTGATGTATATATGTCATTCTGGTCTAATTTTTGTTTAAGGTCTTCATTTCTTGCTTTGAATTGCCAACATTTGAGAAACTTTTGTTGGAAAAATAATTAGGTTAGTCATCTATCCTTGTGTTATATTGTTGAATATATTTCTTTTTGAAAGATTGATCATTGTTGCATCTGCCAGTTTGTATTTTACTAGTTCTTATCCTTAACAACTATGTTTCACAAAAACAGTGTACTTGTCTTTTCTATACCATATCCATATACTTCATTATTATGATGTTTCAGTTCAGTTCTGTTAAAGATCAAGGGACTCGAATAGTCATATACAATTTGTGGGAGGATGACCAAGGAGAGTTGGAGCTTGATTTTGATGCTGATGAACATGTAAGTTCAAACTATAAACTCTCCTGTCATCTCTCTCTATACATCGGAACATGTTCTGTTGTTGGTACAAGTGCTTTCAACAGTTAGTTATCCGAACAAGTCATTGTTGCCTGTATTTAGAATTGTGCACTGAATTTGAGTATTTATGATGGCAGGACATTCAAGTTAGAGGTGTTAATCGTGATGAGAAGAAGATTGAAATGGCAATGAAGTTTCCAAACTCCAGGCATTTTTTAACATATCGACACTCATTAAGGGTACTTCATGTGTTTCGATGTTTTTCATTTTTTGTGCTAAAAATGGAATCAGCTCTTAATATAATATATATAAACAAGCTCTGTTAATTTGTAAAGCTATCGGTTGTTTGACAATTGTGAGATTGTTGAAGTCATCTCAGCTGGAGACCATGGACAAAGAGAAAGTATGAGATGATTGTTGGAAAGATGCTCATTTTTTTTCCAGGATTGTATGGTAATATGTTTGAGAGGAATGTCCTTTTTTCCAAAAGCTTCACTGGGCAGTGATAACCTTGATATGGGCGGTGATAACCTTGAATAGTTTAGTTTTCCATTTTTCTTGCATGGTCGGGTGACACTGGAGCTTAACAACAACAAAAAACTGAACGAAAACTTTTATCATCATTATAATCATTTGACCTTTCTTGTTGATGAAAGAGAATGACCTGTCCATATGCTCTTTGCTTCTCTTCTTTGTTTGAAAATTTTTCACAATCTAGAATCCTTTGTCTGTATGATGCATGCAGCGTGTGCTATTGGTGGTAGCTATAGCACTGAGTTTTTTACTATACTAGAATAGGAAACCTAATTATTAGAAAATTTTTGAATCAAGATACATAAACTAGTTCATTACATTATAGTTTGTAAAAAAATAACTGTAGCTGAAAATAAACACTAATATTATGTTCCCAAATATGTATTTTACAGCATTATTTCAAAATATGCTAGAATCTATTTTTTATTTTGTTCGTGAAGCTGTTCTTACGTATTAATTGACTGCTACTTTGCGGCTGCTACATTTTATTGTTGTAGCTTTCTTCACTTCATTTTGTGCTGCTGTTCACTGGAATCCAAGTGTCTAGAGCAAAATATTGAAGGGTCAACTTAAAACTCTGGAATGATTCTTAACCATATAAAAATATTGCGTTTCTTCTGTTGTGTCACACGAATGTACTTATATTTAAGTATATGGAAGTCTTTTTGGATTGGCTTGTATGTTAAAGGCCACAAATCATTGAATATGTGTTTGTCTGTTGGCTAATCCCATTTGGAGTTTGTGTTTTATTAGGAGTGAGATTGCAATAATTTGTTACATTTTTTTCGTTGTTGTGATTATCATGGACATCATGTGGATGACAAATATCCAGAAAATATTTTTTCTGGTAACATTCCCAAATTTGGTTTGAATTTGGTGAATATAACTTAGTTGTTAGTGATATGTTCTTCTAACTGAGCTTGCATGTTTACTCATTTTTGGTAAAATAATTATCGAGTCATATGCATATTGAACATATCAGTTCCTATTTTTAGGATTTTTTGCATTTAAATATGTGATAGATCTGTAACATGTTTTGGACTTTAACTCTTAATAAATGTTGTTTCTTGTCGTTTGTCCTTTTCTCAACTTGCATGTAATGTTGATGTTTATTGGTTTTTATCATACACAATTGGTGCAACATGGACCCATTTCTTCAACCAATTTGGAACTGCTTCCAGTCAAGCTTAGTGGTTTTATGTACAAGAAATCTTTTCAAACATTACATTTTTAACTTTATACATTACCGAAATGAACATTCTACTTCACTAAAAGTGCTTTGCATAATTATTCTGTGATTTTAGGTGCAGAATTGGTGTATTGACATCTCTTTGCATTTATGAATGTTGTTCTATTCTAAGTGTCTCATCCTAGATTGCCTAAGAATTCAAAATTTTAGTTTCTTCATGGTTTATGACATATTAAGGTGGATTAGTATATCTACTTAATGTTTTAGTTCTTTGTAATTTTGGCAAATGAATTACAAATTAAGTCTGTGCAATGGATTGGCTTGGCTGGTACAAATAAACAATTCAGTGTTGGGGATCATGGTGTATTGGTCACTTTCAAGTCCTCAATCTGTATCAAGGAGTTTTCTAGAAGATTAACCTGTATAATAAGTTGCATCTGACAAGGTCAGCTCAAATATGGTCAAGTCTTGGTAGGTCCAAACTCATCTAAGGCTTTAAGAAATGTAAAATTGGTTGTTCATTGCTAAGTTGATAAGGTGATCTGAAGCTATTGTTGCATGAATGTTACTAGTTTAATCATGGTGTCTACAATTTAAGTTTTATGGTGATTGTCTAAGTTAAGGTTTCAAATACCATTTAGGCTTAGTTTGCATTGATTGATATTTTCTGGTTTGAACAAGGACCACAGTGGACATATAGCTGGGTGCTAATCAATATTTAATTATTTATTATTATTTTCATTGATACAAGGTGATGCAGGTTGTATACTACCTGGTATTTTGATACTGTACAGACTAGTATTGGATCAAAATATTAAACCTTTGTCTCAATAAAGTTATGGGTTGTTTTATTTTGTTCTTAATGGCTATGAGGATAATGAGTGTCTGCAGCAATACAATGATGATAATTGAATTATGATGATAGTAATCAGCAGTAGTTGTTTTACTCAAGAACTGTACAGACTAGTATTTTATCGAAATATTAAACCTTGGTCTCGATATAGTTATGGATTGTTTTATTATGTTTTTAATATCTATGGGGATACTTGCATCTTGATATAGTTATGGATTGTTTTATTTTGTTCTTAATATCTATGGGGATACTTGCATACACTTTGAGAGCACCACCTAATGGAAAAAATTGAATGTTGGCAGCAATACAATGGTGAAAATTGCATTATGATGTTATAAATCAGCACTAGCTGTTTTACTCGAAAACTGTTGTGCTTCTTCATTCAGATATCCGACTGCTATTTTATGTGAAAAATTTTCTTATTTCTACAAAGTAGTTGTATGTAGTTTGTTGTCGACAGTTATGGTGATGTTAATTCCATTCTTCACAGATCTTTTGACCAAGTATCTAGTATGTACCACTGTTTTAATAGTTTATCTTATGTGGTATTTGGTTGGTTAGTCTTTGCATTTTAACAGTCTTCCTATATGAAATTTAATCTGATTATGATTAACTTTCCTTTGTATGTAGAGTTATGCCTCAATTCTGTATCTCAGGCTTCCAAATGTCTTCAGAATGATATTGCGTGGCAAAGAGATTGAACACCACAATATTGTGAATGATATGATGCTAAAACAAGAGGTCACATATAAGCCTCAATCAGTTGCTGAAGGTGTTCCTAAAGATCCTAATGTAAATTTCTCGTTTGCTTTATTCTATTGACTTTATGGCCTTTTTTCCTTATGACTTTGACTTTTTTGCATTTGCTAGACATTAGACATTAATTTTACTGGTACTTTGGATTAGATGGTTGCAGTTGTGACTATTGGCTTTGTAAAGGACGCAAAAGATCATATTGATGTTCAGGGGTTCAATGTTTATCACAAGAATCGGCTAATAAAGGTGCTTCTCAGTCTACTCTCCCACAGTTTTCATTTTTTACACCTGCAGCCTTGTAGTTCTATGAATTACTTTTCCTTTGTATTGTTTTGCTATGATTTATGGATTATTCTCTGTTTGACACTTGGGTTCCCTGAAAAATAAGAAATGGTTGAATTTAAAATCAAACCTATGAACTATCATTTCATCTTCGCTATGGGATACCGACCATATTGCCTAGTACATTATGGTTCCACTAGTTACTTGGTCTTCTTGGATAACAACCAATTGAAGATATAAAATGTGTTCTAAACTTTGGGTCTTATTACTGGAATAAAAAATTATGTTGACAGAGTAAATTCTCTCTGAAGAAAATTGAGGAGAAAAGGTTGTATGTGATGGTTGTCCTGTTATTAGACCAAAAATAAATCACAACAAGTTTAACTTATTCCAGTAAAAAATGCATGAAAGATGAATATGATGCTGGAAATGCTCTTAGAAATTAAGTGACAACTGAGATGAAAGTGTATGTCCATCATTGAACTTTTTTATACATTTTATTATGATATTCAGGTAACGGCATTAGTTATTAAATTCTGTATGGATATGTTAATTGTTATTCAATTTTAAAATCGACTTGATGACCTTAGAAGAAAAAAGAAGGGGGAGCGAAGGAGATGGAGGAAGAGCTTATAAAAAAAGACCATGATTTTGATGATGAAATAGAGGAGATACTACCATCTATTGATATTTGTTACACACTTACAGTATGCCACCATTGTTGCAACCACCACCATTTAACATAGAGAAAAGAATATAAAGAGAGAAACAGGAGGATAGAGACTAGCTCTTAGCCTCTTAAAAAAATAAAGTCATAACGGAGAAGAAAGATGGCTTGGTTTTAATAACTAATTACAAATCTCATGGATGCATTTCAGGTTTGATTTCGTAATATGTACTTGCATTCCCCAAAACCTGTTGGAAGTTGGGACATTGACTTATTTCATTGTTGTGACTTCACTTGCATGGTAATTGGAGGAGCTTCTATGTCATCACTGCTTTTGAAATTGCAAGTGGATAAAGTTATCGGCCTTTTTTAATGACATATCTATAGTTGTAATTCAATATATCATACTTATTAATGTTTTATTCAATTTATTATCTTTTATAGTTCAATTTGGTTTTCGGAAGTTAGATATCTTATGAAATATGAAGGTAAAAGAATTTTTATGCATATAACAATTTTATTTTCTCAAATTTATTATATGTATACCTTAATTTTTCTTTCTTTGATGATATTTTTTATAATTGCTTATTTGAATTCTTAATTTGCCTGACCCTTCTGACTCGATCTTACCGATCTTACTGATCTCAACCATGTCGTCTCTAGTTAACCTGGATTTTGTCATCAATCTTGCAAATTATGAATTAAATTTTGAATATTTTGTGACAGTTGAAGTTGGTTGTTGTTGTTTATAAGTTGATTCTAGTTCATTAGCCCATTCTAGGCATTATAGTATGTGTTTTCACATACCAATAGGGGCATGCCTTGTCTTGATTTGCTCTCTTTTGTTCCTATGATTCATGAATTACTATCACAATAACTTGCATATGGAACTGAGAGAATTGTACAAGCAGATATGATCATCCAGAAGAAAATATGCATATCAGTGATTGGGTTGGAAGTGTGGAAACAGTTATCTGAAGTTTCACTTTTCTTTCTTTCTTTCTTTTTGGTGCAAGCTTACATGAAGTTTCACTTTGACCACATTTTTCTTGTGTTATCTTCCTTCACTACAATCATTATAGTGCTGCCACTTGGTTTGTTTTAATGTCGTTTGATAAGTTTATGTCATTGATGTAATTACGAATCATTCATGTTGCACTGCCTTTGCAATTTTAATTGCTTCTAGAGATAGTAATCAATAATTTGTATCCTTTTTATGCTACATAGCCAATGATTCTGACTAAAAAAAAGCACTTTGGTTGATGTGCATGATTACAGGCAAACTTCAGCTTTATATTCCTGTTACTGTAACTTTCACCAGAATGTTCTTTTCACAATCACAAGATGATCTATATCATGATCGGAGCATCAAACTTTTTTACTTAGGATATGAGCCACAATTTACGATTGTCTAATTAGCATCGTTCTCAATATGTTTTAGCCTTTCTGGAGAGTATGGAGTGCTGCTGGTAGTGACGGGCGTGGAGTTATAGGTACTTCCTTCAGTTACCCTTTTTTTTCTCTTTTCTTCAATTGTTCCCCTAAACCAAATGTTTTCCTGCAGGTGTATTAGAGGCAAATTTTATTGAACCAGCACATGATAAGCAGGACTTTGAACGCACAACTATTCTTTCCAGACTTGAAGCAAGACTTGTTCAGATGCAGAAAACATACTGGTTAGTCTACTTAATTGAGTTTTTACAAATTATGTGGTCGGAGTTCTTTTTGAATTCTTATGGAGGCTTCTCAACTTTTTTGGCCCCATTGGTGACCACAATTATATGCCACAAGCGTTGCATAATGTTGTCACTGATTGCACTGTTTCTCTGACATCTTACTTGTGTTGCATTCAGGTCTAATAATTGTCATAGGATTGGCTATGCTCCCAGGGTTAACAAGAAAACTATTGAGCAAGACGATAAAGGTAATGAAAGCATCTTTATTAAGAGAACGATCATTTAATTGATGATTATGGTTCTCCCATTCTGCATATTAATTTAGTTCTCTCACTATATGCAAAGTAATACTTTAACTTGGTACCAGAATTCATGCTGTTTAGCATTATATCATCTGATTGCCGATCTTCTTTGACAGAGAGTTCTCCTGAAGCACCAGTTCATCAATTATCTCGGCATTCACTGAAGTTTACTTCTCCAAGCAGCGGAACCCATGCCAGCAAGTCTAGTGCTCCAGATAAAGTTGGATATAAGTACTTGCCAAGTTCAAGTGGTAAAACAGGAAAGGCCAGTGCCTCAGCCTTTGTCTTGGGTAAATCTGGGAATCAGAAAAGTGGAAGTTTGGCCTCCTCCATGGACTGTGGAGTAAAAAGTGCTATGAAAGTTGGAAAGAACATAAGAGCTCAATCTAGGTCCAGTGGAATTCATGCTGTTGATGATGAGAGTGATTCTGAGACTGAGTGCACAGCTTCAGTTAAAAGAACACATGATTCAAATATTCCCAAGGCCATTTTCAGTTCAAGAACCTCTGATAAAATTGTTGCTCCTCCAACGTTGTCTCCACCTCCTTATTCTGCCCATAATGGAGCTCAAGGAGATCATACAACAAATGGAGTTGCAGGAATCGAGCGAGTTGCTACTAGATCACAAGGAAAGGTAAATATGGATCGATATTGAACTGATTGCCTTCTACAATTTACATAGTTAAGATTTTTTTAGATTTCACCCTATATTCCAAGTTCAGTAGCTATAAGAAGAGATGTTATCTTTGTATGTATTATACTAGATACTTCTCTAAAAGTGATGTTATCGTCCATACTGCAATAGACTTCAATTCCTAGTCAAATAGAGGATTTTTTAGCCCCACCTGACATTATGATGCAAAACTAAGGACTGATGATCTCTCTGCCCAAATTAAGGAATCAGCCAAATTTGTTAAGGTTCAGACTGGGATCGGTCATTCCCATCGAAATTTACATCCGTGTTATGTTTTTGCTAGTCTTGGTTTCTTCAGGGTTTTGATAGATCTTGATTTCTCAAGGGTTTTGACTTTAGTTGCAGTTGATTTGTTCAGTTGATCCATTTCAAACCATGCTCTGGCAATTCCTATCTCATCAAGTTACTTTGAGAGATCCCTGCACCATCATTGAAATTTTACTTGCACAAAAAGCTTCTTACACCTGGATTGTATATGTAAAAATCTGCCAGGTTTTATGTAGCATGTAATGCAGACCAGTTTAAGAAAATCTGTTTGTACTCATATCATTTATGCACAATTATTTGGTTCTTAGTAGTGTGTTAGATCATTTATGTTTCAGCATAGTTACAGAACATGTCAAAAGTTACATAAATTACAAAGGCAAAAATGCCCTTATTACTAACAAAGATTCCTTGCACTAGATTCTTGATCACAAATAATATAAGCTAAAAATTACTGAATTGGAGCCATTTAATCTTGAAAAGTTTTCATATCTTGAGAACTTAGTTGGTAGTTACTATTTTCATAGAGTTCGGGCCTTTGAGATTGGTTGTTGGAATTGATTGTCTATTTAACCATCCTTCCTAAGAAGCTAGCAAATAATCTTCCCACTTGTGTACTTCAGTTTATCCAAATGATGTGTATTTCAAGATTCACCTTATCAGTCCATGTCGGTATACCGATAAGTTATCGGTGCGGTACGTATAGAGGCATACCAACATACCATGCGTTGGTACACCCAAAATCATCAAAAATAGCTCAAAAAATACCTAAAAATTAGAAAAAAAAATAGATTAGGGTTTTTAAGTAGGAAATAAATATAAATTTAGTATAATTTTGGAAAAAAATAATTTAAATTGGGAAAGAATAGTGACACACTTTTTTGGACTTTGAGGAATAGCTTTGTTGTATGTTTTGGATCATCTTTCCATTAATATTGTATTATCTACAAGAAAATGATTTGAATTGCTAGATTATTTTCTTAAACAACTTATATTTTATGATTCAAATGAATTAAGTAATCACTCAATAGATATACTTGGTTTTATCATCAAAAAGAACGGCGGGACTCTACGGGCGGTGGATTGGAGTCCTTGATCCTAATGTATCTGTATATCAATTTGATATGTTCGTCAGACTCAATCCTTAAATTGATCTTACGACATAGCATACTGATACATCGTATGCTATTGGTGCATCAATACGATGATGGTTGTAGTCTGATCGTCGTGGATCTCATTTGTCCGAGGCAACTACCGAGGCAAGGACGAATGTGACATGTATTGGTGCGAAGCATGGTGAATGTAAAAAGATCTACTTTCGCTATCGATCTACTACTTCGTATCATAAGATCGTTCATCGTACTGTTGCTCAGAAAAGTATGACCAACTATTACTGTACTATTATTGGCCATAAGATTCTTCATAATATGATGGTTATGAATACGATGAGCATCACTTTTTGTCTACGTCGTATAGGCTTTGCTGCATCTGTTTAAAATCATCCACTGCCTTCCCCTTGTATAAATTTAACCAGTCCCTCGTCGAGCTCCATGATCTGAATATTGGGTGGTATGTGTAAAATATTGCTCCTCGGTCCAGGCACCATCCTTAAATTGTGTGGACGGGACCATTGACTCTTCGACGTCGTTGCCATTATCGATCAAGACACTATTATCCATATTGTTGTCATGTCTCTAGATTAAGCGGGTTGTTGAATGCGATTGCAAAGGTGTCTCGTCGCCAAACTCAATTCTTTCCAACAGTGTAGCTGATGTTACTGTCTTCTCCTTTCCCTTTACCTTACATTGGGCGGACGATTGTGACGGTTTGGTGTCTAGTTCCTCTCGATTGGCGTGTTCTTCCTCTTAATTCTCCTAAATTAACCTCCCAATTTTGATCCAATCCACAAATTGCAACTTTGTTGAGTTTAAGAGAGAAAATGTGAGAATGAGAGAGAGATGTGAGTGATTGAGAGAGTGAAATAAATTGAAAGAGGGGAGAGAAAAGGATGTAAAAACCATTTCTTATGGTTCAAACGGTTAATTCGATCGTTTGAAATAGAGCAATCTCAGCCCTTGATCGATAATGGTCAAAATTCGATCTTTATCGATCGATACATGTCAATAACAGTCGGATTCGATTGTTATCGCTCAGTACAAACCCTGTATTGCTCGATACGGGGTCATGTAACGATATCATCTGTAGAGAGCAGTCGTGTACCTATCCCCTGTTGGATCGGTACGTAATGTCCGTACCAGACAGTACAGGTCGGCATGGCGAACCTTGGTGTATTTGACTCCCTCCCCTTCATGATTTAAGATGGGAAGTATTAAAGAAAATAATTATTGAAAGTTATTGAATTAGGTAAACAGACCTTTATAAACTTAAGTGTAAAGTTTATTTGGCCCAAGGACCTTCAAATTTTTAGACCAGATCAAATGAATATTTAAATGTTATCACTTCATGTCATTTTAAGAGCAGTCTATAGCTGAAGATGAATTCTTTTAATTCTCATGATTTTTGGCAATCATGTAAGAAAACCTTTTTTCTCTGATCAAAATCTATGTATACGAGGAGCTGCCCTCTGGCTCCAACATGTACAGTTGTGAAATTATAGTTTATTAAATGTCATTATTTTTTTTTCTGGTTGTAATTTATCAAACTTCATTGGTTCTAGTACCCATAATTATATCCACCATTTAATGTTGTGGGCCTTTTCCTACCAAAAATGTTGATCAGGAACCAAGAAACTAACCCAACATTTGCACAAAATGATACTTCCCACTGGCAGAATAAGCACTAATTTGTCTGACTATGCACACTTTATTTTCCTTTCTAACTACCTCTAGTATGATAAATTTTCATGTGAAATTGGTCCTAATACATAGCCTCATAAAGGACTGTTGTACTTCAATCTGTTTTTCAGGCATCCAAAATTATCTCTGGTGAAAATGGTCCCAGTGCTGAGGACTCTGCCAATATCAAGCAGTTGAAAGATGAAAATGAAGAATTAAAGAAAAGGTGTAGTAGAACATCAATTCATTACCAGACACGAATACTTTCTGTTGTCTCAAATGAGTTTCTGATTGTTGTGTGACACTGACAGAATCATAAAAATGGAGGAATCAACAACTAAGGAATTGCAGTATGAGAGGGATCGTAATAAATCTTTACTTGAGCAAGTAAGTACAATCCATCCATATGTTTCTTATGTTTGGGTCACTTGCATACATGCATTGCTAAATTGCAACGTGTTCAAAGTATCATTAGGGTGTATATATCAAATTACTGCTAGTCATGCTCAGCTGGGTATCTTCCTTTGTTTTTTGGAAATGCTCGGACATACATTTCAATTGGCTGATATGGATGAGGAAATGCAAGCTATAGACTTGGGAAAATATTTTTGGATACAACAGGGATGCAACTATGCATGTTGGGTCAGGTCGTGCATAAACCAAAGGCCAACTTAGGCAGCATGTGATATGCCATGCTTGACCCAATGTGTTCCTTGACCAAACCTTCTCACCAAGCTCTAGTTTTAGAGCTCAGTTTGTATGTCAGTTGAGTGGATTTGCTGAGTGAGAGAGAGAGAGAGAGAGAGAGAGAGAGAGAGAGGAACTTGAATATCTTTTGCCCGTGTTTCCTCTTACTTTACCAATCCAACATAAATTCAGCTCAGGTAAAAACTCATCAAACCTGAATATCTTTTTCTAGTTGTCCCTATGTTCTCCAACTATCTCTCTCATTGTGAATCATTTGCCCAAATCAAATTGGCCACTCAAAAAAAAAAAGGCTACCATATCTTTTCTTGGCAACCTCCCTCTTCTGCCAATCATTTGTCCTCCTATTGTTTTTTTGCGATGGCTACCTATTTGGTCTATCACAAAGAGAAGATCAAAAGAACTTTATATTTTAATCAATTAAAGTGTTTATTTGTTTATTGTTGTACTAGCCTGCACTATAATCTCAGAACAGAACAAATCGTTGTAGTAGGTGTCCTATAATTTTAGCATTCTAACCTTCTTTGAATTCTAACTAGCCCCGCATCTAAATTACTACAAGCAAGAGATTATTGAGGATGTTGAGTAGAAGTCTTGTTGTAGGTTTTAATAAAAACTCTGTTGCTTAAGCGATTTTGACCATTGCAATATCTAATTGTTAACATTCATGTTTCTCCAAGAGAGAACAGCATAAATGAAGAAGGCAAGGCCTTTTGTTGCTTGCTAACACCTTTGTGGTCACATTGTTGAAACAGCATAACCTCCAGTTGTGATATCATTGAACTCCATTTTGGTGCCTTCTTTAACCAAGAAAGACATCATAATCATGAACTACTCTACAGGAGTGGCTTAAGGATTGTATGTATAAAATCTTCAATTTCTTGACTTGGAGAGTTTGCCGGAGCCTAAGATTTACTCAGCATGGATTCAAGCATTGTGAGGATTTAAGAATATCTCAAGGATTTTTAGATTATTATTTGTTACCTTTAAAAGAAAAGACATGGTAGATCTGCCTTCGTATTTGCTGTTTCTACATAGTGGTACGGCTTTGAAGTGCACAAATTGTTTGTTTCTTACTCTGATTTACTGACCATCAATTCAAATTTGTTCGCACGAAGAATTATGTTTCCATGTTTTGTCTGGATGGATTATTGGAATTATATTTTCTCCTATAGTATTTGACAGATTAGTGCAAGTTAGATGAATAGATACTGATGTATATACATGGTTGCATAAATATATATTATATACATATGACGATATGTGTTTAGGACCTTTGTGTCCATATCTGTGTCCATCTGCATGATGTGACTAATATTCATGTCTCATGCAAGTTTGAAGTTCAGATCTCATTGTTTTTGTTTGATTCAAGGAAATCTTTTGGAATGCAGATCAGTATACTTGTCAAGGGTTCTGATATTCATGGGGAATTAATATGAGACACTCATGCAACATGTTTCGTTAACGAAATACAATTCTACATTATGCACTATAATCTGCACATCCATGTACTTATAAGATGCTTGGAATGACCATCATAAATATATATCTGAAGTCAAATGAGTATGACCATGTTATATGGTTTACCTTGTGTACTTGTAGAACAAAAATGTCCATTTGTATTTGTTAATATTGATCATTGTTTTAGCTTAAATGTTAAATATTGTCAATTATATTCTCAAATGTGTTTCTTTTTTCAATTTTGCACCAGTTTGAAGCAGCGCAGAAAAGTTTGGAGGAGGCAAACAAAGAACAAGAGGCTTTGATTGACATATTCTCAGAAGAAAGGAGCCGGAGGGACAAAGAAGAAGAGAATTTGAGGAAGAAACTGAAGGTGAGAAACTTGAACCTCTCACCAAGGTAGAAAAGGCTTGAAATACCTTATTATTCTCATGTCCTAACAAAATTTTCCTTTTCTGGTGCATAGTAAGCATTTGACTGTGAAACTAGTTGATTTTATTTGTTGCCTTTCTGTTTTCTCTCTTGTGAAGGATGCCTCTCGCACTATACAAGAGTTGTTGGAGAAGTTGGCCAAGCGCCAAAATGATCTCAAATCATAGGGACTCGAGCAAACTGAATAGACCTCATTTTTGTCTGGTGACCATGTTTATACCTTCAAAAGAACAAATATCATGTAACTGCTTGTTCAATTACCACAGTACTAAAATTTTGAAGAAAGCATCATTACTGGCTAAAGCACCAAGAAAGCGATGCACTACATTTTGTACTTTATCATCCTATAGAACCCATCTTGTCAGAAGTCTTTCATGTTCTGAGATTATGAAGGGGGATTAGTTGACTTTTACTATGTAAAGGTAAATATTCCTAGTGTAGGTTCAAATGTACAGTTTATCTCTGAGATAAGGTTTTGCATTAGTTACTTGTAGCTGGCATTTGTTTCAACAAGTGTTTCTAGTGATTTCAATTAGAAAATTAATTTTCTTTTCAATTATTTTTCTCCTGGTGATTCTGAATAAAATAGTTCTTCGTAGGCTTCTGCTACGTTGACTCCTGTGTGTCCTAATCTGATGGTCTTTTTATGCTCTCTGATATGGATTCTGATGCTATTTTGCTGTGGAATTCCCTTTAATAATATCGCAAGTGCAAGTGAACTGTTGCAACATCAAATTTTTGCCGAGGCGGGGATTACTGTTTGCGTGTGTACAGTAATCCTTGGTCAAAAAAGATTTACAAGTACATAATGAAAAGAAAGCAAAGTGATAGCCAATTCGGTAACAATTTTTTTAATCAGAATTGAATCGTCAAAGGATTGGTTTAGAATGGTGTTCCGGCGGCTTGGTCTTGAATTGTTAATTCTTGTACAATTTTTAAACTAAAAATAATATAAAACACAAAAAAAAAAATCATAATTTTCTTTCTTAAATTTGTAAAAATGGATGCAAATTTTTTTTAAAAAAAATGATATAAAAATATTAAAATAATAAAACTTTTTCTTGTTTTCGGTGTTAGCAATCGTTGCAATTCTTGTTTACAGTAATCTCGATCAAGTTTCATTCGTTAAAGGCTTTCTCCAATGCTTTTGTTGATATCTGAGGTGTTAGCATTTACCTTGCAATCATTATCAAAATTAAAAATATTATTATATATCGTGTCTATTATTCAAGAATGAAAAATTCTATACCTGTAATGTTGTTATCAAGCTCGAAAAAAGTTGTAAGACAGACATATACCAAACAAAAAAAGTTATTAGATATATATTAAACTCAAAGTTTGAGCCTGATAATACCTTTGGTTTTTCATCTTTATAATAATAATTTTGTCCCCTTATAGATTTTACTACTCTCCCTCATTGATTCGTAGATGGAAAAGTTTCAGGGTAGTTTGTTATCTATTATAGTTAGTACTATAATTGTGATATAAGTTAGTCAATAATTTTTTTATTTCTTTAATTTTATTTTTATTATCAACTTAGTACTATAATTGTCATATAACTACTTCCATAATAAGTAGTTAAATTATTACTTAGGTCATCTAATCTAGTACCAAGATTAAAAAAATTATTTATTAATTTTATTTATTTAAATCATCATCATATTAATATTATTCTAAAGCATTAATGATATTAATGTAAATAATTATAAAAATGTGAGCAATAGGATAGATAATAAAAACTAGACAGTGTATATGTAGCATTATTAAAAACTTTTAAAATTTCTAAGATTCTTTCATAAGTCTTCTAATGTTTGTTGACATAAATAAACAAACTTGTCTAACATTATTTATAACAAAAGTGCATAATAGTTTTTATACTCCAAAATATTCTTTAAGAAATTCATAGGTATATTTCAATCAGGTAGGAAGATTCCTTGAAAATCTTTTTAAGAAAGATTCATTGTTAATGACTTTATAAGAAAGAAATTACTTGCTTAACTGGAGAGAAAAGTAAGTTTCAAGAAATCATAAATCTTTTTGTACACATAATTTTAAAATACGACGAGAACACTTAACATTATATATATATATATATATATATATATATATATATATATATATATATATATATATATATATATATATATATATATATATATATATATATATA